TCATAATTATCAATACATAGGCTGAAGCAAGTAAGTCTTAGAGAAGTTCTTTAACTTGCTCCAAGTCTGAGAGGTGGTAGAACCGGGGCTTGAATCTAAGAGCCACCTGACCCTGAAACTTGACCCTTACTGTTTCTGCCCACAGTAACTCATGTTGGAGGCATCCTTACACTAGGCAACGTGGTATGCTAAGCTCTCAACCTGCAATATCTCATCGGTGATTTATAACACTTTGCAAATACTAGTAGCAGTGCCATCATTTTACAGATGACAAAATAGGGCTGGTGGGGGTGGCTTATGCTTATAATCCCAGCACTTTGGGAGGCCAAGGTGGGAGGATTGCTAGAGCCCAGGAGTTCAAGACCAGCCTGGGAAACCTGGTGAAACCCTGTGTGTAAAGAAAAATAAAATAAAAATAATATACAGATGACAAAATAAGAGATTAGAAAAGTTAAGTAACATTTTTTAAGGCAAAGGAAAAAGCACACTTTTTGGCATGAAATAACAAAACGGGTCCTCTAAGTTGCCTCAATTCATCTACACTTTGACATGAATGCTGGCCTGGCTAAAGAATATGTACGTGAATGTGAGTCTTTTGCTCACTTGCAAGAGTAAAAGAAAAATATTTGAGTTGCCAAGGTGAGAGCCATCATGCCAATAAACATCAAAACACTCTTAATCCTTTGATCAGTGAATTCTATACCTAAATAAAATAATTATTGCTTTCATAAAATGTCTCTGTTTGCTGCCGACAGAGAGCAAACTAAGCTAGCATGTCCCGCAATAGCCTTGAAATAACCAAGGAGAGAGATCAAAATAAAAATAAATCTTGACCAGATTTATAGGTGTGCCTTGATTAGTTCTTGTTATTTTCCTTCAAATAAGCAACACCTGAAAAAAATGAAAAGGGAATGTTGAGACCAGATATCATGTAATAGATGGGCTTTGTCTGACATACAGTATGGTATAATGCCGAAAAAATAATGCTGGCCCATCATTCGTGACACTTGCCAGCTAAGCAGAGCAGAGAGAAAGACAAAGAGGATTTTTCAGGATGCCGAACGGGGCCACCACTTGGATTTCAACAAATTATCATTTGTTTTACTGTACTTCTCAAAGTTTTGTTTTAGGGTAGCGTTTTGTCGCTTTCTCTAAGACAACAGGTTTTTCTTTTGTGGCAACTGGTACCATTTTTTGGAAAAATTCTACCATTAAAATCAAATGTAGTTTGCTCAAGTATAATTCCATTGCTTGCTAATGAGAAAGTATGTCTTTCAAGAATTGTAATTATGTACAATGTGATGAAACTGAAATTGTTTACCTACTAAGCCATCTCTTTCTCCTTCACACACCCACTAACACTCAGATCTTCTCAAAGTGAGATGCCATAATTAATAGAAATGCCAGTCAATAAAGCTAAGGATTCTGTTTTTTAAAACATTATAATTCTCATTTTTCTGTAAACTACCTTTTTAATGAGAACTTCATTTCCTTCAGGCAACACTTTATTCACGATGGATTTGGCTACTTGAATAAAAATAAAATACCTGTGAAAGGAGAGAAAGTTCTCTTCAAAGCTGTTGAAATCTGATTTCATTTCAGATTCTAGAACTAATGTTGTTTTTGTTTAAATAGATTTTGTCTGTCAATTTCCAGACCTGCTGTGCCATCAGCCTGTATGGACTGCTGTGGCCAACACAGGGGTTGTAGCAGCAAATTTTATTATGGACTGGTAATTGAATTGAACAGGTTTACATTTGAATAGATTTACTACATCATGATCTCTGACATACTGCATGGGACTGAAATCCCTCTCCATCCATAAAGATACATTTAAGACAGTATCATTCTCTCCAGGCTTAGGAAGCAAGTCTTGAGCAGGGAATGGCCAAACGTAACTGCGCATTTATATGCAGGGTACAATGCAATATTTCACTGGATTTTTTAAGCATAAAACAACAAGAATATTCCATGTTTACTCAGAACCATCCCATTCTTTTGATTTGGTGGTTGCAGGGAGGTGGGGCGGGGGGTTAAAGAACTGATATTCTGCCATCAAAGTGGGCGTTAAGAAGTAAAGGAAAATAAATTATTATTTGAGTATATCAGCAACGGCAGCAATTCCCTAGAAAACAGATACCTGCTTGATAGCAGCAACTGAAGAGGTGTGAATCATAGATAAGCACTGTCCCATTCACTTTTACCAACAATGTTTAATTAAACACAGTGCACACCTCTTCCTTGACTCTTAAAACCCTTCAGGACTGTTTCTGCTAGAAATCACAATGGAAAAAATATTTAAGAAAAAATATATTTTATTCTTCCTCCTTAAACCTGGAAAAGCAAATAGTTGTATAAATTATAGTAGTAAGTCAAACTAATAAAAAATATTATGTATTCCTAGATTTGGAGATGTGATTCCATGTACCTGAGTTTTTCAAAATAAAACCTAAATCTAGATCAATACAAAGTATTCATTGTCATATTAATTTTAGAACTTTTTAAAAAATGGATTTGCTTTTGAAAAATAATGATTTCTTAACTTTCAAGGATTTGAAATCACTCTTGATTAAACCTTTGTGAATGAGCATAAGTTAGAGTTGAGTCTCTACAATGAAACTAAGTGGCAACATACCTATAATTAAGGCCAGAAATTGACTGTCGATCACTTATCATTAACTTTCAGAAATATGTTTTGTTTGTTACTCTGCCATCGGGTTTAAGGCAATGGTAGCTTACGTTCCACTTCACGAACGTAAACTACCACCATCATCCTAACTAAAAAAAAAACTCTTTGTCATGTGAGTTGGGTGGCTGTTGTCTTAATTATATGTTTTCTTTTACCAAAAGTGTCCTTCTGGCCATGGCACATAAGTTTTCTTTAGCAAGAACCACCTTATCTGTCTTTTACACTGTTGTATCACTGGAGCCTGGAATAGTGTCTGGCACAGGGGAAGACCTTGATACATACTCAACAAATGGATTATAAATGTAAAACATGTTAACTCTGAAAAATCCTACCAGGACCAAAGGCTATACTGTAAAACGTTCCCGGGCCGGGCGCGGTGGCTCAGGCCTGTAATCCCAGCACTTTGGGAGGCCGAGACGGGTGGATCACGAGGTCAAGAGATCGAGACCATCCTGGTCAACATGGTGAAACCGCATCTCTACTAAAGATACAAAAAATTAGCTGGGCATGGTGGCGCGTGCCTGTAATCCCAGCTACTCAGGAGGCTGAGGCAGGAGAATTGCCTGAACCCAGGAGGCGGAGTTTGCGATGAGCCGAGATTGCGCCATTGCACTCCAGCCTGGGTAACAAGAGCGAAACTCCGTCTCAAAAAAAAAAAAAAAAAAAAGTTCCCCCATCCTCATTTTCATTCACTAATGTGACACTCTCACTAATCTTTAGGTATCCTTCTTTCCTTCCACTTTTCCATGTATACACATGTGTATATCCAAAACAGTGTGTATCCACTATCTATCATCCATCATCCTTTCCATCTCTATGTATACATATACATGTATACACACACATACTCTCACACATACACACACACACAATGAATCTAACTATTTACTATAAGAAAACTTGTTCTTATAGATATATATTTACTTGGTAATGTATCTTAGTCATCTTTTCATAAACCTTTATTATAACATTATACACTTCTTTGTTTTTAGCTCTTTCTCAAGGGAAGAACAAAGCTGAAGACTAGAAAAATCTGAGAGGGTCTTCTCTGTTCCTATTTGACAAGTAAAAGTCAGAGAAACACGATGTGAATTCCACATGACCAAACATAATTTGATCTACTCATCTTCCTATAACATTGTTCACAGTAAAAATCTTGAAAGAAGAATAAACCAGGAAAAATTATGGGACAGAGTGATGGCACACATTCATTGACACTCTGGTTCACTTTTGGTGAATTAACATGTGAGTCTAACTGGCTGTATAAGTTAAAAACTAGGGGATCTCTAGTAAGAACAAAATATACTAACAGGACCATCCCCAGAAACAAAGCATAGTTCTATGATGCAACGGAAGTCATACATTTAAATATTTAATGAATCTAATTTCCCATCAAACATTAATTACCACTTTTTCATTGTGTTACTTTATAAAGCTGTGTTTATTACAAACTCTGGTGGATGTTCTGAAGAAAAGGAAACAGAACAGTCTAAATGCAGTATGTAAAATGCATATTTACAAAAACACAAGTATAGCAATGCATAAAAGAACAAAAACTAAATGGTAGGCCTCACAAAGTAAAGAAAACTTTTTATCCATCTCCAAGCTAAACTGTGAGTTTCAGTAGAAATGCTGAAATATACAAATATTTCAGGACTTTTGACATGTGCGGAATAGTTGAGTGGCATCTAGAATCGATGGGTTCGGTTCCTGGCTCCACCAATTGTGAACTGTGTGAGCTTAAGCAATTTGTTTAGCACAGAAAACATGTCATTGTTACTATTTTATGCTTGTTGTTGTTATCCCCCACTAGAAGCAAATAGAAAGCAATTTTAATATCGTATTTCGAGCTCTTAGTAATAGAAAATAAAGTCCAAAAGATAAAGTCGGAAAATAATAAAGAGTGCTTTAAACTCAGGATTAATTTAAAAAAAAAGAAAAGAAAAGAAAAGAAAACTCTCTGCAAACCTAGTAATGAGAAGAAAACCAAAAAGTCAATGTAGGCTCTTGGTCTGTCTTCATCTCCTTTGCCTTCTGCAATGTGAAAGAAGGAAAAACCACAACAGTGAAGCATACCTGGTGTGTTCAGCTGTGCATAAGATTCTCCTACCTTGTCCCTTCCTGTAGATATCAGGCAGTTAGCCAGAAGGTATCAGAAAGTCCAGGTGTAAAGAAGGAATATTCTGCCATCAGAGTCAGGGTACTTACTGTTACCTCATCTTTTTCTGGTTTCTCTAGAATTGGTGGAATTTCTTGCCTCCCATCCACACACCAAAATCTAAAGCTCAGGGGCACTAGCAAATAGCCTTACCTTCTTTCAGCATGCCCACTTTTAAACACTTCATGAAGCGGCAAGCCTGGCAGGATTTACGTCTGCGCTTTGTGATTTCACATTCATTCGTGGCAGGGCAGCTGTATTCTATATTGCCTAAAACACAAGTTTGAAGAGAAGTTGTCAGATTTGCAAGATCCAGGAAACATCAGCATCCCAAAGGCAATGTCAACTCTATTATTCTTACTCCCCCACCCCCAAAAATGTCAGGAGACTCAAGAGAAATGTCGGAAATGTCATCATGCTGGATGCTCTGCTATAATCAAGAACACACATCATGAAGCGCTTCAAAAGACGAATTTTAAAATTAGCCTTCAGAACATTATGTTGAGTCCACCCATGCAAAATAAGAGTCTTCCAGAATCTTGCGATCCAAAAGAAATTTCAAAATAGATTATGTTCATGAAACACAAATATCAAAACCAGAGTCTTAGATTGTCAATCCTGGATTTATTTTGGTTCCTAATACTTCCGTGCATTAGGCTTATTGTCTTTCTGACACTGGACAAGGTAAACTTCACTCTGGAATATGACATGTAAACTAATCTGGGATGTTAGAGTAAGCTCCTGGAGGGCAGGGACAGAAATCACACAGTTGTTGCTACAGCACTTACCAGAGCCTTACAACACAATTCTGTGCTTGGTAAATGCTTACCGATGATGGTGATGATAAGGAAGATGATGGTCATCATCATTATCATCACCATCATCATGAGGTTTGTTACATAATTTTCATAATTAATCCCAAACACTGAAGTTCCCTGATGTTAGAATGAAGAATAAACTGCTATGAAATTGTATTTTTAATATGAGACTGTATCATTTATGGTAGTGCTTACGTATTTAGAATGATACCTGTGAAACCAGCAGAAGATCCAAACTAAATTCTTTTTCAATTAGTACCAATGTCAGTGTATGGGATGTGCTCTGGGGCTGCCTACAGCTTTATAAAGAAGCTGCCTTTAAAATAAAGCCTTTCTCCCCTATCAGCTCTGTCACATACTGCTTGAAGGTCTTTCCTTACTTCCTAACCCTTTCCCCTTGTGATTAAGTGCATTAGTATCTTAATGAAAATGCATTCTATTTATTGCCCTCTTGGGAAGGGGGAGGTCATCACACCAAATGCATAAATTGTCATCAGAGACGGTCCAAGCATAATTGCGATTTTGCTGCTCCGTGTTTGCAATACTCAGGGTCCGTCCAAGTCCCCTGAAACATTCGCAGTTTCTAGCAATTAGCATAGAGTCTGCCTGGGACCACAGCATTGATGAAATATTTCAGAGTTAATCACACTTTGTAAACACTGATTTATATTGACTACCTTTCTCCAGACTGATGTCTCCTCATTAAATATCACGTTAGTGGATTGCAGGATAGTACAAAGACTCAACTACTCAGCAACTGCTAATTCAACAGGAAGTAATCCCTAACCACTTACAACTACTGAAAACGGTTAAGTACAGATGACCTGAAAAAAAAAACACATTATAATTTGAGATAGCCTATCAAAATTGCCTAAATTAGCATTCTAATTCAGGGCATTTATAACAATAAAAGCAACTACTTTTTAACAGGAGGTTAAATAGTAAGAGTAATATGAATTGCATCAACAGAAGTATATACCATTACCTTCCTTGAAGATATTACTGATGCTATATTCTTAGAAAACCAAGGATAAGTCAAAGAAATCAGGATGGCTGGGTCACAGCTAAGAATAAAAGGATTTATAATCTGAACTTTAGATGAACCACTCTTCAGAGTTTCTTTAACCATCCCTGAATATTTATTTTGCATCAAAAGAGTGTTGCTTTTAATTTTCTAAGGGTTAATTAGTATTCCATGACTAGAACCTTCCATCCTGTACAGCTCCCCCTGTACTTACTCAAAAAGAAACAGGCCTTTGCTGTCTTAGGAAGGACTGAACAATGACTGGTTAAAAGGATCAAGAAGAAAGTTTGCCAAACAGCATTCCTTTCCTTTCTTTCTGCCTGAAGAGTCAGTATGAAGTAACACTTTGCTCACTTCCCTTATCAAGGCATGAGTGCTAGTCCTGCACACCTTTGACCCAGTGCTAAAAGCTTCTACCAGGATGAGCCACTGCCACACACGTAATCACCATTCTTTGAAAACCTGTTCCACTTCCTCTTTGAACACTGCATCCTCCTCCTTCACATTAACATACTTCTGGCAAGAATGTGCATCAGGCATGTGTGAGCTCACACCTGGACTATGGCAGTTATCCCCTCCCTGGGCTTTTCGCCTCCATCCTGACCCACTCTCATCCACGTGGCTGCTTTGATCGTGTCATCCTGCTAAGCTTTAAAAATCAATAGGTTTCTCTGCCCTCCTGAATGAAATACACACTATAAGGCTTACAAACAAGGTCCTCTCTCAGTCTTTCATCTTCTTTTCCAGAAATATTGCTATTATTACCTGACATGAACTTTTTGAGGAAGCCAATTTGATTGGTTCATTTTTTGCTAAATATCCTTCAGATTTTCCTCTGAGAATTATCTACCTTTGTCACTTTTTTTCTTTCTAAAATTATCCCCAAGTCTCCTGTTCAATTCCAACTCCATTCGAACCTTTCACGAGAACTTCTCTGACTATTCCAGCAGAAAATGATTTCTTGGTTTTCATATCTTTTTGGGTACTCTCATCATACCAAAATATGATGGTATAACATCACATTTTGTCATACCTTTAGTACACATATTACCCATTAGATGGTAAGACACTAGAAGACAATGAACATTTCTTATGCAGTATAAAAACCATCCAGGCCGGCAGGTAGCTGTAATTCCAACACTTTGGGAGGCTGAGGCAAGCAGATCACTTGAGGTCAGGAGTTCAAGACCAGCCTGGCCAAACTCCTGGTCTTGAACTTGAGATGGCCAAAAGCCCATCTCTACAAAAAATATAGAAAAATAAACCAGGAGTGGTGGTGTACACCTGCAGTCCCAGCCTCTTGGGAGGTTGAGGTGAGAGAATTGCTTGAGCCCAGAAGGCAGAAGTTACATGAGCCCCGATCATGCCACTACACTCTAGCCTGGGCAAGAGAGCAAGGCTCCATCCCTCTCCCCTCCTCAGTAAAATAATATACTTAAAATAAGTTAGAATTCTCTTATCTCAGGGTCATTATTATGAACATGAATTATGGTGCTCTAATACAGTGTCACAGGATCAAGTGAGCTGCCTGTCTCACTAGAAAGCAATGTCAAAAACAGTAGGAAAACTATTTCACACATAATCACAAAAATAGGAAAAAGGGCCAGGTACGATGGCTCACACCCGTAATCCAGCACTTTGGGAGGCCAGGGAGGGTGGATCACTTGAAGTCAGGAGTTCAAGACGAACCTGACCAACATGGTGAAACCCCATCTCTACTAAAAATACAAAATAGACGTGGTGGTGCACAACTACAATCCCAGCTACGTGGGAGGCTGAGGCAGGAGAACTGCTTGAACCCAGGAGGCAGAGGTTGCAGTGAGCCAAGATGGCACCATTACACTCCAGCCTGGGCAACAAGAGCAAAACTCGGCCTCAAAAAAAAAAAAAAAAGGAATTCTAGTTAATATTTTGATATCGTGAACAGTAGCTTTGACAAAAATGGGAGAAGGTGTGGCAAAAGGGGAAATATTATGCAAAACAAACCACAAAAGCTTCTGTGGAGTAAAGCGTGAATAAAAGAGGAAATCTTAAAGGAAATTATAGTATATGGGAAATAAAAATCCATCCTGATATGTACAGGGTAAGAATAAAAGAAAAATAAAATAATACAGATAGATGTTACCAAATGAATTATATAATTTTTATCTTCCTATATAATTCCTATCAGTATTAACAAAATAAGTGCTTCAGAATTGGAGCTACATTGGAGAAAATATTTAGGATTGGTTCAATAATAGTAGCTAGATCTGTGAATGACTCATCTAAGAATAATTATGTAAAGATTTTTAAATCTCTTCAAAAGGCAGGAGGGAATCTGTCAAATAATGATATGAGAGTTTTAGATCACATTTAAAAGACCCTGGTCTCCTTTCTATCTATTACATTCCAAACCTCTTCAATGACAAAGGGAAATGTAAAAGCAGGGGAGGTTTTCCTAGTGTCTCAGAATGAAATCTTGGAGTAGGACCTCTGCCTTATTCCTTTTAAATCCTCAGTGCTTATCAATGAGCCAGGAATTTTGTGTCGGCTGGTTTGGGACAGAGAGAGGTAGTTCCTGATACTAAGGAGTCCACACAGAAGAAACAAGACGTGTAAACAAACAGTACAGTTTAGTGGGTGGTGTCATGGTTCAGGATGCAGTACTGGCACGTACATGTATTCCCACAAACACAGGGATGATGCTTAGGAAGATCAGCAAATTCTTCACATAGGAGCAAATGCCTGAACTATGCCCTGAAAAATAAACTAGTGACTGAGTTGGGGTAAAGGAGTCTTCCCAGAGCTACAGCAAATACAACATGGATGTAAAAATTTCCCCATGACTGGAAGGAAAACACAGTGGTCCCAGTGTCTTCACAAATATACGTTTTTAGCTGAAATGTATAGAAATTGTTTCTGATAAACTGGGCCTCTTTCACAGATAGTTTCATTCAATAAAGTTGCCTTGACACGTATGGATAATAACCTTGATTTCACTAAGTAACTCTGGTTTATATCTTGAAAGACAAGTCAACATCATTCTAAATAAATTATTTGCTGGAGGAAAACCTCTCTAATTTCCAAGCCCTCCCATTGAGTTATTTAGTTCACTGTTGTTGGCGATGATGATCACCCACCCAACAAAGTCTTTGATCCATGTTAGAGTCTACAGACACTGTGCCCTTGAAAAACCTTCCCTGATGCTTTTTGTATTCAAGAAAGAAAGCATTTTATCCTAAAAATGTGCTGCCCCAAGCACCTGGGTAACCATGTTACATCTATTTTGGTAGTGGTTCAAAGACATGACTCCCAGTAGACCATACGATCTCTATGGGGCACTTGTTTTCCTTGCATTCTCTAAAAGTGGAAACTAGACAAAAATATTTCCAATAGCAACTATGGGCACCTGGAATGTGAACACTGGTTATTCATTTAGGAGGATGCGG